CTTCACATGCGATAATTCATTTTTAAATGTTACCTCGACATGTTGCTAAATTTTTATTATGAAGATTATATTCTATGAAAACAATATTATTTATATTGACTAAAATTATTATAGAATATTAAAAACTTAATTTTATTATATATATATATATAACAAAAAGTATTGTAGGATTTATAAAAAACTTTCTTTTTAATTAAAAAAAAAACCCTTCTTTTTAGATTTGACATTTTGAGCGCCTTTAAACCCCTTATATCGATAATACACCTATTCCAAAAAGTAACAATAATAATAATAATAATAATTACTCCAAGAGGTGGATGTGATGTCTTGTGAGTGATCGGCGACGTTATTAAATTCTAAGCAGATCTCATTTATTAAATATTAATTAGCTATTGAGACCATTAACTTCCGTGATGTGCATTTCTCAACTCCACTTAGGAATCTCGTCGGACAGGTTTGAGTTATTTCACATTCTTGTTTTTTTTTTAAGATATAATAATTTAGTGTAATACTAAACATATCTTGCTATCCATACGTAAGGAGTATTAATAATTAAACTAATGATGCATCCATGAAAATAATATATCTACAAAACCTTATTAGATCATTTGTTGTTAATAGGTTAGCCATGAGATCAAATGTCATTCTTGCCGCTTATGTTTTGTGAAACAATATATAATTTACTTATCCAAAGTGTATTTATATATTAATATATTATATCTCATCTAGTGACAAAAATGTAAAGATAAATTACCTAAAAAGTTTTAAGTTTTTATTTTTATTTTCCTTTTAGAATAGTCTCGTTTTGTTTATTCGTTTATTTTCTAAAAGATACAAGTGTCCTGGCCTCCGTTTCATCGTTCATTGTCTTCGTCGTATCGTTTTTGTCTCGCTTCCACCACTCCCGCTCTCTCTGCATCTTCTCTTTCTTTAAGGGCCCTCCCCTTCATTAAATATCGATGCTATCAGTTCCCTATTGAGTTGATAGTTATGGATGTAAATGAGAGGGGAGATAAGGATAATAACAATCATAGTAATAAAGAAAAAAAAAAGGAAGACAAAAGTATCACAAGAAGAGGGGAGGGGAGATAAGAACAATGAGCAACAATAAGGATGGTGATGGATTGTAGGCAACAAAGGTGGTGGGTGGTGGTGAGGCTTGGTAGAATCATGATGACCAAAATGAAGAGGTTAAAAGAAGATAGAAGGGAAGCCAAAAGCAACGAACAAAAAGAGGATGAAAGGTGAAGACAGATGCAAAAGGAGAGAGATGAGAGTAGGATGATCAACTATAGAGGTCATGCGTAATTTTATATTTCAAGAAGTAAAAAGATATTATGTGGGAAAGTAAAAAATTAGTATTTTTTAAAAACTATCTAAAATGTAAACTAATAAATCATATATATATATATATATATATATATATATATAGTTTGAAAATAATAAAAATAAAAGAAAACGGGTCGATCCGATGGTGCTCGGCATCAATCCATTGGATAAGTCTACGCTTGTGGTTGCTAATGTCATCGGATTCATACGATCAAACAGTAAGCGACGGCTCCATTCGATGGTACGTCGCTTTCCCTGCCCTCGTCATCCATGATCTAAAAGCTTCGTCGGCATGACTTGGCGATATGAACTGCAGTGGTCTGATGACGAGATATTTCACACACGCAAAAGGATAACTGATGTGATGTACAGTACGTCCTCCACCGCATCTGCCTCTCTCTGCCTTTGCTGTCGTCACCTTTGGTGACTTTCGTAGTCTGCAAAGGAAACTGCGTCTCCTCCGATCCATCGATGTGGGTTATCAGACTCCCGTTAAAGGCATGCGCTGACCTCAGCATTATCTGTCTGATCACCAAGCAATCAGAGTCTGAAACCGAGAAATGTTATATAAAGCCTGTCATCATCTATAATTATTTGATATAAGAATATTTAATATGATTATTACTGTGGATATAATATTGCTCATATTGGATATACACGGTTGCGTGGAGCCGAAGCTGTCTGTGCAAAGTCATGTTGTAGAAATTATTTTGAAGTATTATTGACATGAATGTCAGAGCTGAATCATCAGAAACTTCCACTGTAGTTTGATCCGTTGGTGTCATCCGAGCCCGTGATGATATGTTTCGTAAAAAAGATCTCGTCCAAGTCATCCTTCCCTATTGATTGGACGATCAAGATTTGATCCATCAAATATATGACAATCAACAAGTAGCGCAAAAACATTAGAAATTTTATCTATATTAAAGTCTCTAAGTGACTACTTATGGAATTTAAAAGTATCTAAGTGCTTATTAAAATAAGTTTATTCGCATAATTATTCTTGCACCTAATCCATCAAACACAAAACCTTTGGTTGAGTTTAATTTATTGGACGAAGTAGGTTTGTAAAATATTTCTTAGGTGAAAGTAGGTTTGACAACGATTTGATTCGAGCCGGAATCAAATCGAGCTGACACCCAAATCAAATTAGCTTGGTGATTCATCAATTCCAAGTCGAACCAAAATTGGTTTTGGGTGATTCGGTTCCAATTCTTACGCTTGAAAAATTAAAATCATCTATTTCAAATTTTTTTAAAAAATTATTATTAAAAAAATAATATATATTTTTTAGGATAAATTCTCTGAAAAAAATTCAAACTTTGACAATTTTGGTACTCCAACCTCAAGAAATTTTTTTTTAAAAAATAATCATTCTATTTTTATCGATCATTGTGCCTTTGCCTCATTGGTCGTCCTCCCTTCGCTTCGCCAACCATCCTCCTTTTCTCTGGATAATCACTTATCACCCATGACATAGGCAACTAATGATGGAGGCCTCACTCTCCTTCGACCCCAATAGTTGTCTCTCCTCTCTTATCATAAGAGTTGTCACTTCTCTTCTCGCTTAAGGGCTATTAGCAAGGTACATAAAAGCAAGTTTTACGGGATATGTAGAGGCAAAGGTTACAGGGGATGAATCCAACAAGAATAGAGGGGAGGTAAAACAATTGTTGGGATTCGATAAGAGTTTATGGGCAGTGACAAAACCGACGTAAGATGACAACACATGGGTAAAATGATATTTTCATGTGGTAGACAAGGGGTGCTCTACAGAAATTTCTCAAAGTTGAAGTGCTATGTTGAAAATTTTTTAAATTATTTTTTTTTAAAATATATTTTTATATTAAAAAAAAATAACGAAACTAAAATCACAATCATCGGTTCCGGTTTCAAAACCAAGTTCGATTCCGAATAATAATTTTGGAGAATCATAAACAGGGCAAGGTAAGAATTGGTGGTGGTTTTGTACTTATATTTATCATCGATGAAGGTTTTGTACTTATATTTATCATCGATGAAGGTTTTGTACTTATATTTATCATCATTTTTTTAAANAATAATAATAATAATAATAATAATAATAATAATAATAATAATAATAATAATAATAATAATAATAATAATAATAATAATAATAATAATAATAATAATAATAATAATAATAATAATAATAATAATAATAATAATAATAATAATAATAATAATAATAATAATAATAATAATAATAATAATAATAATAATAATAATAATAATAATAATAA